TTGAGGCAAGAGAGTTCCTTGAGGGTAGTAATGCGAAATTTACATCCCTCTACTCCAGTCGAGGCGATCCAAGACGAATTGACGGCCCTAGGTTTCAAAGTTCGACAGGTCACCAATGTTATGAAGGACGACAGAGACGTTTCTGGAGCAAATAATAGAAAGATAGCATTACCTCTATTTTTCATTGATTTAGAACCCTCAGCAGGAGTCGAAAAAATATATGAAATCAACAGATTATATTATACAAGTGTCAAGGTTGAAAAACCATACACTAAAAGAGAAATCGTCCAGTGCCACAATTGCCAGGCATATGGACACACCAAAACATACTGCCACCACATCCCAAGATGCGTGAAATGCGGAGAGTCACACAAGACTGGTGAGTGCAAGAAATTGAAAACTACTCCTGCAGTATGTGCTTTATGCTTAGAAGGACATCCTGCTAATTACAAGGGCTGCCAGGTGTATAAAAATATCAAAAATAAATTTCGTAAAACCTGGAACACAGAAGAAACTTCTAAACCCAGAAGAGGGCCAGCTAAAATAGTAGACTCTAGAGTATCTTATTCTCAGTTACTAGGGGGTAGAGTCCTGACTGATAAATGCGAGGCCCTGCCGCAACAGGAACCCCAATCCAAACTCCAACACCCTATCCCTCCTAATGTACAAAACTCTCAACAACCTCATCAACATCACATTCCTTATATTCCTCCTCCATCACAAGCCACTGATCTTACCAGTTTGTTGGCATCTTTTCTCACCGAATTCAAATCCCTCGTCACCCCACTGATATCTCTCCTTACAAATCTCGTATCTCACCTCATCCCTCCTTTAAAAAATCCTTAAATGAATTCCATCAAACCCCTATCCATTCTCCTTTGGAATGCGAATGGTGTTAGAAACCACACTGACGAACTAACAGCTTTATTGCGAGATAAGAACGTCGATGTAGCCCTTATTACAGAAACTCGACTGACCAAAAAACAAATTTTAAATATACCTCAGTACTCAACATATCGTACTGACCAGCCAGACGGTAGAGCTCATGCCGGCACTGCAGTCATTGTACACCAATCCCTCTCTCATCACCTATTCCTATTACCTACTCACGATTTCCTACAATCCACTGCTATCATAATCAAAACCTTCTCGTTTCCTATTACCCTCCCTACCAATCCACCTCTAATATTCAATTTAGTTCCTTCCTTAATTCCTTAGGACACCATTTCATCCTGGGTGCAGACTTAAACGCCAAGCATCAGCAATGGGGTTCTAGAACAACGAATTCTCGAGGTCGAACACTGCTGTATGCACTCAACTCCCAACATTTCAACCTCGCTCCCCCGAACTCACCTACCTACTGGCCCACTGATCCTAACCGTAATCCTGATATCCTTGATTTCTTCATCCATAGTGGTTTAGGTCCCCTAAACTATTCCATTGCACGCCTTGATGAACTTTCCTCAGACCACAGTCCATTAATATTCAAAGTATCACTAGCTCCTATTCCCAAACCCTCTACACCGTCCTTCATCAGAGACCCAGTCAACTGGAAACTCTTCCATCAAATCCTTTCCGATCAAATTGACCTCAGAATAACCCTGAAAACCCCAGAAGACCTTGACAATGCTGTACATTCCTTAACCACCATCATTCAACAAGCAGTCTGGACTGCCTCCTCTCCTAATCATTCCCCTAGAACTCCAAAGAAAAATAAATTACCTCATCACATCCTCGACCTAATCCATACCAAACGCCGTGCCAGATTGTTTTGGCAACGTACCAGACATCCCACTGACCGCAGCTCCTATAACTATCTCTGTAAACAACTAAAGCAAGAATTATCCAACTTCAAATCCCAATCCTTTAACTCCTTCCTTACCTCCCTCTCTGCTCACGACAACTCCCTCTGGAATATCACAAAAAAAAATCCTAAAAACCCATATTTCCCATCCCCTCCGTCGAAGTGATGGCTCCTGGGCGGCGTCTGATGAAGACAAAGCTGAGGAATTCGCCAAACACCTTTCTAGTACATTTACTCCTCATCCCGAATCCAATCCGACCCACACTACAACAGTAGAAGAATTCTTTTCTTCACCAATTCCACTCTCTTTACCACCAAAAGCAGTTCATCCATCTGAGGTCAAATATCATTTACAAAAACTATCTTCCCGCAAATCTCCTAGATATGACCTTCTAACCCCACAGATCCTTCATCAACTACCATCCAAAGCAATCATATTCCTCACATACATATACAACTGCATCCTAAGAACTACCCATTTTCCTCTCTTATGGAAACATTCCACCATTGTCCTTTTCTTGAAACCTGGCAAACCTTCCAATAATACATCATCATATAGACCAATTAGCCTACTCCTAATCCTTTCCAAAATTTTTGAAAAAATCCTACTGAAAAGAATCCTACCCATAATAGAATCCCAAAACCTTCCAACCCACCAATTTGGATTTTGCTTTTAACATTCCACTGTCCAACAAGGACTCCGACTTGTTGACCACATATCCTCAGCCCTAGAAAGCAAAGAGTACTGTTCGGGGGCATTCCTGGACATTGCGCAAGCTTTTGATCGGGTATGGCATGCCGGACTGCTCTTCAAGCTCAAATCCCATCTATCCCATTCCTTATATCTTATCCTCCGATCCTACCTCTCTGACCGCTCCTTTCAAGTTCGCTATGGTACAGAATCCTCCAACTGTCATTCAATCAAGGCGGGAGTTCCTCAAGGCAGCGTCTTGGGTCCCGTCCTCTACATTCTGTTTACCGCTGATATTCCTACTCATTCTGAAACAATCCTGGCAACATTCGCTGATGACACAGCCATCTTATCTTCCAATCCAGATCCTGAAATAGCATCCTTAAACCTACAAAGTCACCTCTCTCTAATTGAACACTGGTGTAATAAGTGGCAAATCCAAGTAAATGAATCCAAATCCAAACATATTACTTTTACCCTTCGACATAATTCCTGTCCACCAGTCTACTTCAACTCCATACCACTTCCTCTGTCCGACACAGTCCGGTATCTTGGCTTTATTCTAGACAAAAGACTAACATGGAACCCACACACCAGACTTAAAAGACAACAACTTAACAGACGATACGGACAACTATATAGACTATTGAATAGAAAATCTCAACTCTCAGTCGACAACAAACTATTAATCTACAAGACAATCCTGAAACCTATTTGGACCTACGGAATAGAACTGTGGGGGACAGCAAAACTTTCTAACATCAAACACATTCAATCCTTCCAGTCTAAAATCCTCCGAACAATAGTCGATGCTCCCTTCTATGTATCCAACAAAACCCTCCATAATGACCTTCATATGCCATTTGTTATTGACCTAATCCCAGAAAATTTTTCCAAATTTCACCAGAAACTCATTCATCATCCAAATCCTGTAGCACAATTCCTATCTAGCTCCAGTCATCCCTACAATCCTCCCCGGAGGTTAAAACGGCAGTGGCCGCGACCTTTTGTAAATATGCATATATTGGAGTACTGGCAATGGCCAGATTCTCCACTCAAGACATGAGCGTCTGTTGCTATAGTGCCCTCCATCAGTTTCCACTGGTTTCAAATAACAGTGACGCGGCTGAGAGAGAAGCACTGGGATCTCCTTGAGTCCTGCCTTGGCTTCCACGTCGGGAAATAAGGCATGACTCAGAGTCCCCTTGGTGAATGTAAATATTGTACATAGGTGTGAATGTGATAGTGGGCGGGGTAGCCGAATGGGCTAAAGCGTGTGCACTGCACCGCCGTTGCCTGGCAACCTGACATATGAATACAAAGATATAAAAATAGTCACGAGTTCGCGTCCCGGTGCCGGGGGAGTCTTTTAAATCCCCGCCCACACTCCCTGGCCCGGGAAAATCCCGTATAGCCTTAACGGCGAGGAAGGGAAGGACCCAAAAAAAAAAAAAAAAAAAAAGGTGTGAATGTGATTTATTTACTTTAATTTCATCTAGCTTTTATCTATTATTTCATTATTTTTTTTTTGTACACAGGCATACCAATTTAATAATTTTATTTTTTTTTATATTTTTTTCTCTTTATTATTGATATTAATTGTATGTACATATTGTGTGAATGAATCATGTAGCCTTAATATTAATGCCCTTCAATGTGGCAGAATGTATTAATATTCAATAAAGAAAGTTTAAAAAAAAAAAAAACTACAGAGAGGTTTTTAAGGATCTTCCATCTGGATTTGGATTAGAATGTATGGTACGAAAAATCTTGAGTTTTGTTCTGAGGCACCGAACTACTTAAATGTCATCAGTCAAGGCCAGTTTTAATCCCTCCCCATCCCTTATCCATATCTCTATTCCTCCCCCTCCCCTATTTTATCTTTTATGTTTAATTTTTTATATATTTATCATTAAACGAGCGGAGGAACCTCAACTCCAAACACCTTAACAAGACCTTAAGTGGGCAGGAAGAGATATCTTTCCAAAATCATTACAACGCACCTTCAAATACCGCAGGTAGAAAAAGGTTAAGGTAATTCAGAGTACCGTTCTGTTAGTACATTGGTCCGAATATGGCACTGATCTCATGTTTTATTTTGTTTCAGAGGGATCGGAAAAAAAAAAAAAAAAAACAGTTTTAATATTCATAAACTGAGATCTCAACCCACAAGGTGTCAAAGTAGATATTTATGTACCCAAGGAGGAATAGGGTTATTTATGTATTTTTAAAAAAATTAATTATTTTTAAGGTTTAATTAATGTTTTGTTCAATTAACCAAAGAGGTTGTTTTGTTTTGTTATTTGTATACATATTATTTTTTTAGTTTACAATATACTTATTACTTTTGTGTTATACGGTTATATTTTCAGTTCCGATCAACTAATTATATAAAACTGGGAGTGGTGATACTTTTTGTAATCACTGTATATTAAAACATCAACCTAAGAATAGCGAACGATTAGATTACTGAGAAAGTGAAATAATATTAAAATAAAGACTTACCATAAATATGAAATAGGCACACACCCATGAAAATCTTTGAGAATATCTAACAAAACCCAAGACCAATATGAACGATAAGACAGCTTTCCTAGATCAGAAAGAGGTTTCTCTGGAGTGCCTACAATTCCTTCTAATTTTGATAATTCATAAGAAAACCCAATGAGAAGTTTTCCATACCCTTGCCTTTGGAATGGAGGCAGTGTTAATATACATGCCACATTGTGGCCATCAGGAGATTCTTTTTCCTTAAAAAAAAAAAAAAAAAAAAAAAAATGAAATTAAGCTATACACTATATAATATTTATTGTCAGCAAATTATATAAAAAATTAAATCAGGATGACAACTGAACTTGCCATTGAAAGACTAAGGTTAATTTTCTGACAATAATATTGTTTCATATAATATACAGCAAAATGGCTATTGTTAAACCAAATGACGAGTAGATCTAACCATCTGAAGTTACATTATTTTAAATATAAAAAACTAGTGAACGGTTTTTGATCTATAGTGCTAGAGATCCACTGAACACGAAATGGCATTCTTTAGAAATTCCTCTTCAATGTATGTGGCACTATTCTTAAGGACCGCAGCATCAATTCTGTTGATTCCTAGAGCTTTACCGATCCTCTGTAGCATGACAAAGGTCTCAAATATCCCGTCGAATTTTTAGTAATGAAAAATTACTAGTCATCAGCCAGATTCAAACCTGGTACCTTGAGCCCTGGAAGTCAGTGCTCATCCACTGAGCTACCCCATTCCCTTGACAAATGGGAAAAGATGACAAATCCATTATTTTTCAATATCAATCGCAGATAGCAGTACGTCTTAGTCAGCATAAGATTTATGTAGTGATGGACAATGTAACTCACTAGTATAAACAAGTTGGTGTCCATATTGAGTAAAGTTATGACCAAAATTTCAGATATAAAACACTTTGAAGTAGTTTTCGAATCTCAGAATGCAAGTTTTTTAACTTTTTCATTAAAGTATTCTGAATATATAACTCCATACCATAAACTAATAGGGAACCCAAATGTTATAATGGTCAAAATATTGTGTAGGGGAAAGATGACGAATTCTGTATCTTGTGCTAGGAGAAAGGCAAGGATGAGCTGTGGTACCAGTCCTGCAAATGCCACAAGTAAACTCATTCTACTTGAGTGTTCCGAGTGGGACCAGAGAGACGGCAGTCAGAGGGCCTATAATAGTCCATGGTACAGAACCACTTATTATCAAATTATTAATATCCCCCCAAAACTTGGTGGATAGCTTCATCTCATTGTGAGCTACAACTTTTTATTTACGAAAATTTTCGGAATTGGGGCATTTTCGATATAGAGATTGGATAACTTTGTCTATTTAATTTGGTATTAAAAACTTAGGAACACCCATTTACTTTTCACTTAAATCGAAAAATAATTTGATTACATCAAGAAAACAGATAGCCTATAGAAATATCGGACCGTTAGGCGTGACATCAATCCCCAACATGTCAAAATAACAAGGTGATATAGGCCAAATGGCCTAATATTTTTTAGACCACATTTTTTTCCGATTTTGAGATCAAATTATCTAACGATTCAAGTGGAAAACATTAATTAATTCCTTTAATGAGAAAATGCCCCATTTCTGAGAATTTTCTTAGATGAAAAATTTGTAGATTATGATAAGATGAAGTCATTCATGAAGTTTTAGGCGGATCAAAATAAAAAATCAAAAGATGTTCAAGGCAAAAGGCTTTGGAATAATATCTTATTAATTAAAAAAAAATTAAAATATTGTTTATAAAATAAATTAGATTTGAAAAAATAAATTAAATTGATCATCATTGTGGATAGCTGGCATTTATGGAAGTGTGTATAAAATTTCAATTAATTTTATTTAAGAAATAAACGAAATGAATGGTCTATACTCATGATTTGTACAAAAAGAATCTTGCCAATTTATTTGACAATATTACTGTCTGATTCAATGAGGTATGTATTGAAAGGAAAAAAAAAGATTAAATTTTGTTAATTAAAAAATATCATGCACTTAAATTACAAATCAATGTAATTAAACAATAGGTGAATAATCCTTACTTTAGAAAAATAACCTCTTATATGTGCTCCATGTTTATCAACTTCACATAGTATGTAAAATAAAAATTGTTCAACATCAAAAAAAATTGTTTTATGATCAATAAATAACTTTGCAAGCAAACACAAGTTTTGACAGTAAAGCCTATTCAGTGCAGGATCCACTTCATGAATTGATAATGTTCCTTTTCTGTATATTTCGGTGCCTGGAGGAGCTCGCCATATACATTCACTCTGAAAAAAATAAAATAAACATAGGAAAATTTTAAAAGAACTATAACTGATTGAACCCTAAATTACATAATAATGTAAAATTAATTTAATAAATAGACTGAATAAACTATTTTGGATATACTTATTTAACTTCTAGAAAATGACATACCTTAAAATAAATAGATTAAATAATGTTATTTCAAATGATATTCATACTATTCTGTAATCTAAGCTCAAACAATATAGCGTTGAGACAAACATGTATTATAGTATGTTTAACCAAGCTGCATTACACCTGTCTTGAAAGTCAAATATTTAGTACAGTATGATCCAAACCATGGGCTACGGACAAATAAATACTAGGCTGTGGACGCAGGTAGAGAGTTTAAACCAAGACAAAAATCAGAGCTGCAAGAGTAGAAATTGAATGATAGCAACAATTGAATGATGAGAGTGATTTTGAGGCTAAAACTAGCAAGTTTTAACTCAGATATTGACTTTCTTGTGGCAAAAAATAATGTCTAACTCTCACAGAATTTTTTTACTTTGATCACGTTTTTGTATTTCCTTACAGTTTTGTCAGCTTAACAAATACAACAAAGTTATTTTCTCAGTAAAAATTATTTTTTATCCTTGATGTACACCAAGAATCTTAACCTTGTGACTACAGGGAACATTTTGCCCATGTAATGTCATAAGTACTTGTGGGTACAATTGTGCCCACTTGACATGATCTGAAGCATGATAGGGATTGCTATAGCAGCTGGTAACTGTTTTTTGTGGCTGGTGGCTGTTCAATGAATTTTTGATAATATGTATATATGTATATATGTATATATATATATATATATATATATATATATATATATATATATATATATACAGGGTGTTCCATTAGTAGAGGGAAATATTTAAAAGGTTGATAATAGATATGAAGATCTACAAAAAAGTTCATATAAACAATTGCCCGATTTCCAGCAAAAAATAAGCTATTTTAGGATTTATGCTTTTTTATGTGAGTCACGTTTTTGGTTGAATAGGAAGCGATAACTAAACAAATATTTGATTTAAGTAACTAAACATTTCTCCATAGTAAACTAGATAAAATCTACTTCAAACGAAAGTAGAGTTTGTCATTGTTAAAATTATTTAAAGAGGACTATTAAGCGGATAAACTCAGCTAAGTTCCGTTTAAAAAAAAGTCATAAATTATTTGTGATTTTACAGTTACGCCTCTTTTAGAAAAACTTCTGTGTTTTATAAACTTTAAGTCAATATTAATTAAGTTGGGGTTTATTAGTGAAAAAATTTGATATTCAATTCAAGTTGTGTAAAGAAATGATATGATTTTCTATTCAGACACCTAAAAGTACCCGTGTTTTAAACAAAAAATACTTCAATTAACTGTAGCAAAACTTTTCTTTTTCTTTTTTCTGTGATATGGGATGTATTTTAATAAACGTAATAGCTTAAAATCACATTTTATTTATAAAAATCTAAAAATAACGATTTTTCATATTAAGTGGTTCTGAAACTATGTTTTTCTCCCATATCTCTGACATAGGAATTATTAATTCCTATTAAATGAAATTATTAGTCATAAAAATGAAATGCAACAAAAAATAAGTTAATGTTAAAAGATGTTATCAAACACAGATTATAGGTTACTAACCATGTGGTATCTATAGGTTTTTTCAAGCTTCATGTATTTTAAGCAATATTCACATATATATAATTTTTCTTGTTCCCCATACTCGTCAGGGTAAGGACTAAAATACCATGTATCAATTTCATAAATCCCAAACTGTATTGTATTAATATATTTCACTTTTGTAATTTCAGCGTGCTCTTTTTCAACATCATCTACAGCTCTTGCTCCATCATTCTCTTCACTAGGTAAAGTCTGAAAATATAAAATTAATAAAAAATTGAAAATATAATAATAGTAAGTATGGTAATGTTTAATAAATAAATAAGGATGTTTAAGCCTTATTCTTTGATTTCAAAGGAACCTATGATTCCATGGGCAGATAATTTCTTTTGGAAGATCATGACTGAGCTGGGAGATTAATTTATCTTCAATAATAGATAACAGATGGATAGATGGAATGACTTATTTGTATTTTAAAATGACAAATAACATAGAAAAAATAAAATATATGCTATTAAAAGCCGCAATAACCAAAGTAAACAAAGAAACAACAGCATCTCCCTCCTCAATTATACATCTCAAAGCATGACCAGCTTCATTTATTTAGCTCCTCAATAAATATGGAAAACAAGATTAGCCATGAAATACAAAGTAGAATAATGGCTGGAAATAGGGCGTATTATGCAAACCTGAAACTCCTCAAATCAAAATTACTTTCAAATATGATTGAACTAAAGCCGTGTAATACTCTGATTAAGCTGGTTGTCACTTATGGGTCGGAAACCAGGTGCCTACTATCAACAGACTGTCAAAATAGAGTTTTAGAAAGAAATATTGTAAAAAAGATATACGGGACTTTAAAGATTGATGGAAACTAGAAGATCAAGAGCAATACAGAAATTGCAGTCATACTGAAAAATCATGATTTAGTAATTATATAGAAGCAGGTAGGCTGTGATGAGCAGGTCATATTGCTAGAATAAATGAAGATAGGCTTCAGAAGAAGATGCTGGACATGACAATTGTTGAAAAAAAGAGAAAAAGAGGCAGACCGATGAGCCACTGGAAGAATGAGATAGCAAGAGATGCTGCAAAGCAGGTGTCCTAAATTGGAGCGCTGCCAAGGACCATGACAGATGTAAGGATATAGTTTGGAAGGGTCACAAAGACCCATAGAGCAAAGGAGTAAGTAAGTAACTGATAAATAAAAAACAAAATTTGGTTATCTTTTATCTGAAATAATAAATAACATGAAATTATCTTTTTATTCATTATTTGAGTTTTTCTTCTGATTTTCGAAAGGAAAATCTTACGTCGAATAGTTAGCCCAGTGAGAGATGGAGATGGATAGAGGATTAGGAGGAACCGAGAGCTTTATGACCTCTACGGGGATATGGACATTGTAAAGTTTATTAAGCTGGGAAGGCTCGGTTGGGCTGGACATGTCCCTAGGATGAAAGCGGAAGAAATTCCTAAAAAAGTGGTGGACACCGCCCTTCATGGTACGGCGACGGCCTGGTAGGCCAAGGTTTCGATGGGTTGATGGAGTGGCAGCGGACGCATGGAGCCTGCTACACATCAGAGGCTGGAGAGCGGCAGCACAAAATTGGGCCGAATGGCGGAGGCTCATTGAGGAGGCCAAAACCCACCCAGGGTTGTAGCGCCACGTAGATAGATAGATAGATATGAGTTTTTCAAATAAAAATTTGAATAATAAAATAGTGAACTTTTTATAGTAAGTCTGTTTAAAGAAAATGGTCTAAAAATGTTTCCAAATTTCCCCTCACCCATACAATTTATGAATGAATCACTGGTTTTTCATTTTTCAGGCAATTATCTAAATGTTGAGAGGTAAAGAATTCTCCGAATTTTCATTCGAAAATTGTTGGAAAGCTGAAAAACCTACGATCAATTAATGAGATAAAAAAAGAAAATCTAATGAAAATTAAGTAACATTTTTGTACTCTTATTTTCTTTTTCCTATCTCTAAACAGCTGAAAAATTGTTGGGTCAATCATTCATTCACAAGATAAAAGAGGAAAAGTGAATGGAAATTTGGAAAATCTTGACACTTTTGTGCTACCTCTAAATATATTCTTTTTAGTTATTTTTATCTTAAATAACGAACAATAGATAATAGATGATTCAGGTTAACTGTAAATAACGAACAAATCATCTGTTCAAAAAGCATTGAATAACGAATTTCGATTACCAATTTATTTATTAATCGTTATCTAGATATAAATTTATTAGACTAATACCCAATCCTGAGAAGTATTTGAAGCCTTCAAAGTTCGAACTGGTTAGTAGCAGGAAGATGGACTGCCGATGCTGTTCAATTAATAGTGTAGAAGGTGATAAAAACAAATTACGAGAAAATGGAGGTGTGCATGTCAGAATGAATCATAAAATCCTTGGATATGCAGATGGTAGAGCTGTTCTTGGAAACAATCAAGAGGAGATTGAGAGACTAGCGAAGACTCAGAAGAACAGAAAATTGGCATATAAGAGCAAATGAAGATAAAACCAAAAACATTAAGGCTGAAAACTACACCCTTCATTTTTATTTTCATTTTTTTCTCTTGTATTATTGCCAAATTATCACTTTATTATATTGCCAGCGTGCATTGTTGACAATTATATTTTTATTGTTGTGTACGAATATGTCTACAAGTTATCTTATAATTTTAAGTTTTTAATTATATCTGCATAATAATTACTGAGATTTCTTGTATAACTTTTAAAATGTTGTTTTTCTATTGTTACTATGTTTTTCAGAATTTTTGGGTTCTTTGAATTAAATTTATGATTCAAACTTGTGCCATCTTAGACTACAGCTGTAGCATTCAGATTTTCGCTATTTGTATTGTGTTATTCGGGTGGTGAGTTTTTTTAGTTATATTTTAGGTATAATATAGGTAGTAATATTGTCTTGATGATGGAGCATAATCACAAAACTGACAAGGGGAGGCTATGGTCATTGGGTCATTGATTTCAACCAAATATTTTTTGGTGATACTACATTGAAAAATATTGAACACATACTCCAGCGGTGGTTCCAATGGCCCTAGGAGCCGTGAAAATTTTTTTAAATATAATTTCATAGTGTACATAGGTATGCATGTGTTTTTGCTTTGTTTTAATTTTCTTATTTTTAAATTATTTTATTTTATTTATTGTATATAATTTTTGATTATTATTTTGCTTCCATTTATTTTTCTGTACAAATAGTGTGAATGTTCTTCTACCTCACTATAACTAATGTCCAAGTGACAGATTGTTGTAACACTCAATAAATAAAAAAAAATTAAAAAGTTATTTCAAACAAAATTTATGTTATTTATTTGTGCCTTTGCTTTCTCCAAATGTTTAAGGTATTATATATCAGTGGATTTTTTTTTTGCTGCAGAATAAGAAAAATATATTGTCTATTGTATTAGATGAGTTATAATGTATCATAAATTACATAAACTAGAAAGTGCTTCTAGTAAAGTAGGCCAAGTAAATTTTTGTTATGAAAAAACAGAGTAGATTTGTTTTTAGTGCCCTTTGAAACTCAAAAATACGAATTTTTATAGAAATCAAAAATTGCAAAATTATATATTTATTTGATTTTATTAGAGATAAAGTTACTTGATTTTTTTTTTTTTTTTCTGGCCGATAACTAAAACATTCATAACTTCTCAGTATTTTCTCCACATTCAACATTAGTACAATTGTTGGGAAGTTGAATTATTACTCTTCCAACCCACATCAATAACTTTAAGATTTCATTCTTCTTTAAATTAAAAATTAAGAAAAACTTCCTAATTATTTTAATTTTATATTTTTGGTTCTAATTTGTTTATGGAGGTCGATTTTGTAACATTTCGTGTAGCGCATAGAGCCCTAATTCCCTAATAATTTTTGTGTGAAGGAGCTGTTCTAAAGTTATCACTATTTTGTTGTTGTTGACCAAATTTCAAAGGATCCAGTCTAGGCAAAAATTTTGTGAAAAAAATTTTAATTTTTCTATTGCAATAAAAGTTTGCATTTAAGGTTTTTTTGTGGTGTGAAAAATGAATATCAACTATGCTTCTCTCTAAATAAGTATTTACTCTAAATATCAGACTGGTTTTAAATACATATTATAATTGGCAGATACCTACTAGATGGAGAAAATTTGTACCAACCGAGGCAGCAATGAGGGAGTAATTGTTTAAGGAAAAACAAAGTTTATGTTACTTTTTTTGGACCTCAAAAAACCCTTAAATAAAATTTTTTATAGCAATAGAAAAATTAAAATTTTCATCACGAAATTTTTGCCTAGACTAGACCCTTCATAATTTTATCCACAAAAAAATGATAAGGGATTTAGAGTTACACGAAATGGCACAATACTGATCTCAGCTAACAAATTAGAACCAAAAATATTAAATAAAAATGATTGAGAAGTTTTTCTTACAACTGTTTGTGTTCTACCGTTGAATTTAGAGAAAATCCAGAAAAGTTATGAATGCTTTAGTTATCGGCCTGTAAAAAATATCTTCTAAGAAAATCAAGTAATAAATTTTAAAATTTTTGATTTCTATAAAAACTCATACACAACTAAAAATGAATTTAACTTGATTTTTCATAACAAAAATTTACTTGGCCTACTTTACTAGATGCATCTTTTGGTTTTTGTAATTTATGGGGCACTAGAACACATTTAATACAATAGCCAATATTTTTTCTTATTCTGCACAAAAAAATAAATCTTGATATAGAATATCCTAAAAATCTGAGCAAAACAAAGGCAATTTTTTTTTTTAAATTTTATAAAATATTTGTTTTCTCGGCTCCTAGGACCCATTGGAACGATCACCGAGATATGTGTTCAATATTTTTCGATGTAGTTTCACTAAAAAAATTTGGTTGAAATTGGTGACCAACTGGACTGTAGTCTGCCCTTGTGAGTGTAATGAATTTCTTTTAAATAAAAAAGATCAATACTAACTCTTTTTTTAATTACCTACATATGAATTTTGAATTATAACATGCATCACTATAATATCAAATTCAAAGCATATACAAAAGTTTCTGATCAACAGTTTTGTCAGATTTATCTTGGAATCTCCAAGAGACTCTCGTGTAATAAATTTCAATACCAAATTGAAGTGAATCCACCGTTACTTCCACAGACAATACTTCAATGTGGCAATACTTTGTACACTATCATTCTCAGGAAATTGTGTTTAAAAATACAGATTTTATTATTTGTATAACTTATTAACATCACACAAATTATGACAAACATGAACTCGTGTAAAATTTTAAAAACTATAAATTATTCCAAAATCAAATTGGTAATAACTAGGACTAATTAATTAAGAAATACTAATAATTATTCATAGTCACATAAGAAAATAAACTTCAGAAGCATGACCATTATTTATATACACAAAGTTAATAAAAAAAAAGTTGGTATTTTTGAAAGAGAGATCAACTAAATAAGTAGCCAACACAATTATATTTGAAGATGAAATGAAAATATCTGTATATATATAATTATTTTGTACAAAAGAGTAGTCAGTAATTTCAAATACTTGACAATCTTAAATATAGTTTTCTAAAAATCAACATTTTTCAAGATTAAATTAAATTTAGAACTGATTTACCTTGAATGGTGACAAATTCAACTGAGAAGATTCTTCTGAAGACTCGCTTGACCTTGCTCCTTCATAAGATTCAGATTCATCACTAGATTCATTATTATGTACAATTATCCTGTAATACATTAAGCAGTACTAGAAGAATAAATATAGTAATTAATAGGTAAGGTGGCAATTTCTATTGCCTTTAAAATGCTTGTTAATTTATTTTGTATGATTTTTTCATGTTAAGGTTTTGAAGAATAATTTCTCAGTCTTCAGAACTCTTACTCAAATGGAGAGCCTAGTTAATAGGCCGATTTCAACCAAATTTTTTTTGCTGATACTACATCACCAACAACATAAAACAAAAAAAAATTTGGTGCACTGAGAAATTCTTGAAGAGAAGAAGAGCAAAGCCAGTGAGAAATGTAAAATACAGTAATGGTGAACTAGAGATGGGCAAATGCCAAAGTGAGTACCGAGTCCCGTGTATTTTACTCAACTACTGACCTCCCGATTTCGATTATGGTACTGAGATATTCAACTTGTCCAAATCTGAGTATTATCCTCAAATGTGAACTGCCCAACTTCCAGTATTTTACTCAAATAGCTGACCTGTACAACTTTGAGTACATTACTCACGGCCTATTATAAATTATAGTTTTAAGTACCATATGCCTATAGTTAAAAATATAAATTCTAATAATGGATGTGACATTGTTCTAATTACATAAATATTGTTAAATATAGACTTTTAATTGGTTAACTCATTACTAATAACAAACTTTGGATTTCTTTTTTAAATAATATCGACATTACGATCGCCTTATACGTATTCATCTATTTAAAATTTTCATGTATGAGGGACTATTAATATGTATTTGGAGCCATCAATTTTCAAAATGATGTCCATTTTGAGATTAGGTAACTGCATTTTGACTTATGTGAGTTTTTCTGATTTCTTTCATATGATGACACTTATTTCAGGTCAAAGGACACTGACGACGGGATTCGAATATATATTTCTTTGTATTTACAATTTTCGTTCTTACCTAAAAAACTTCTATATTGAAACACAGCACTTTCATTTATTTTCAGTTTCAAACACTTTTATATTAAATGAAATATATATATTGTTTTTAGATGGATGGAAAAATGGTAAAACAAGTAAAGTATCATTTTAATTCTGTATATTATTACATTTTTTACTATCACATCTTAATTTTTGTATATTTTTACACTTATTTATTACATTATATATATATATACATACATACATACATATATATCTATATATATATATATATATATATATATATATATATATATGAAACTTAAATTTGTTTGTTTAGTAGACAGAGATTCAGGTGTACCAAAATCAGCATTCAGTCAAAACCAAAATTAAATAAAATAAGAAAACTTGTTAATATTTATTTGATGTATAAAACATTCAAATAGTATATAAATAATATCATGGATATGACACAAATAACGGTGAACGAACATAACTTGGGTTTAGAATAAATCTGCAGCTGATGGCTTCCAAATGGTCAGAATCCGTAACGACTGCACAGAGTCAGCTACAGGGGACTAATGAATGCACCGACCAAGCCACAAGTTAAATGGTGAAGGCGAGACTTGCCCATACCTGTTTAAGTGGCAACCACCCAGGCAGGAAGATATATATCCCGGCCGCATCCATGAAGCAACTCTCTAAACTACCGGGAAGGCATGTATCCCATCTGCAGTCTAAAGGTTAATTATATACAGATGTATTTTCCTTGGCAATGATTCATTTCAAAATGATTTTTTCTTAAAAAAAATATTAAATTTTCAAACAATCCATACTGACCCTACTGGGCTGATTTTTTGACCATTTAAAATCTATCAATTGAAATATATTTTGTTTAAAATCAGCATCTTAAAAATAATTTCTTACAGCTTTTGTTAGCACCGAGGTGTGCCTAAATTTATATTGCTTACCAATATAGGTTCTTTATTTTTATTGTTAACAGATTTACACCCTGTAAATTGTTTCTATAAATTTCTGAATATTCCTTGCTTCATCTGGTCTGTTGTTTTATCAGGAGATACTATATTATGTTTATGATCAGAGGTGCCCACCCCCTTCAAGATCGATTACCTTTTCTTAAAAACAGAGTAAGTGAAGGCAGAATTAGAAAAATCGTAGATTATATACAATTAAACTTGGTGCAGTCTCTTCCATGTTTTTCTCTTGTCCTTAGTATGAAACTGCATTTAGAAAATTTATAAGTCCGCCAAAATGTGTCTCCCACAAAAATTTGGCAAAAAAATGTCTGCCACAAATAAATGGCTAGTACAGCATGTTTTCTTTAAAATAAAAAGAAATAAAATTTCAAAAGAACTATACTGACCCTGATAGGCAGATTTTTGACCATTTAAAAATCTTCTTTAAATTGAAATATACTTCATTTAAAAACAACATTTTAAAAATAATTTCTTCCAGATTTTGTTAACTCCGAGGTATGCCTAAATTAATATCGTAAAGATGAATATTTGCCAGACATTATTTGAGGTAGGAAAGTTAATCTTGTTGAGAGAACATGAATTTATTTTGAAATTCATGCAGGGAAGAAAAGTGGGTGAGAAATATGATGCTTAATAATACAGATGAATAATTATAATTATCCAATTATTATGCAATAGTTAGTCTCATTTGATGTTCCATTTACCTTGAGTAAAATTTGAAGCTAGTACGGTGGTTTTTGAATTATGTTTGCTGGAAAACATGGCTCTGCTTTTGTTGGGCGGATATAGTTTTTTCATCAATATCAGCAAACATTATTATCATTTTATTTTTAGGAACCTTAAATGGACTAGTTTTATTTCGAAAAGGTTCTATCCATCTTCAAATGGGTCAAGGTTAAAAAAAAAAAGTGGATTTTTGACTCTTATCTGTCATATGCATACCACCATTGCCAGTGAAATGCGGGCGATTTCGGTTGTCAGATTTCTTTTTTTTTTGTCTATGAGGATGCTATTATTATTCAGAAAAGATTTTATCCATCACCAAATTAGTAAAATTATGAACAAAAGAGGTTGTTTTTGGACTTATCTACGCCTGCCAATGGAATGCATCCATTTCTGGTTGGCAAACCACGTTTTTTTTGGGAATGCATCAACTTCCGCCCGGCAAGCTAATTCATACTGGATAAGTAGAATTACAGGAGCGGAAATGAAGTACATATGTAGGGTCGCAGTAAAAAACAGAAGAGACTGTGTCAGAAATGAAAGGATTAGGATGGAGCTGAAAATCCTACCACTAAAATATACTCTTGTAAAAGACAGCTTGAGTGGTTTGGTAATGTTTGTCAAATGAGCAAGGACCGGGAAAAGTTATGGAAGCAAAAAAAATACTCTAACAAATGAAGAAAATCTGCAGAGACCGTGAGCTTGGCAGTGTTGGACTGGGGAAGAAGATAGAGAAGAAGTAAACTTAAAAGAAAGACGCATAATACCTACAAATGTTAATTGTAACCAATGCACAACTAATCTATTTTTTAGTCACAACTTAATATCTTGACATAAATTGTTGTGGAATATGTAAAATTACAAAAAATCTAATTGACATTCAAAAGCAATCTTACCTGTCATAAGGAACCCACTCATCTAGTCTCCTATTAAGGGAATCATAGTGGACATAATACTCTGTGAACTTCCCCTGTTTGTTGAATCTTCTTTGAATAACTTCAGCTTTGCCTAAACAAAGTAAACAAATAATTATTTTTCCAAAAACAATTAAAATGTGTAATAAACCAACAGCTTTTCTTAGATCACATTATGGTAAATGACACAGTCCATTTTCAAAGGTGATTTCAGTGTACTTCAGGCCAATTTTTTATCATATATTTATGTAACATACATATTGTAATCACTACCATATTAATATCTAATTGGCCAAGCATCTAAATAACTAAATTTCGAGTATTTTTAGTTAATTAATATTGAATGAAGTTTAAAACACAAATATTATCATCATAAAAATTGATTAAATCTAATATAAGGTTTATGAAAACCTACACATAGAGTTGAGATACTTTGGCCTCATTATATTATATTATATATATATATATAATATAATATAATATAATATATATATCATTATATAATATTATATTGTTCTTAGTGTTAGAGGTGAAGGAAATTAAAAAATCTTTTTAAGATGCCTATAGAATAAAATTTCCTCTGCCAATGAGTCTACATTTTTTTTAAGCCTTGCATCTTAAAATTCCTATGTATTTAGAAAAAAAAAATGTTAGATCCCAAGTCTCAGTTTTACTCTATTCAGCCACAGCATCTTTAACCCTCAAGTTTTCACCCATAGTAAAGTTAAATTCGTCCTGTGAAAACCCTTTTCATTGACTGGCCTGTTCTTATAGTTATCATGCTAGGATTGTGAGAAATATAGGTTTTGTTGAAGAATTAAAATTGGAAACTCTACAACTTATCAATTACATTAATTCTCATTTTCTTGAAAATTAAATATCCATTAACATTTGATACAGCATTAAATTTAATAACACACAATGAATATAAACAAATTCCAAAGGTTGTATCAATATTGAATCTGAAGAAAATTTTTAGTAGTTATGAATGTTTTGATTATTGACTGGGAAAAAATTCTCCAAGAAAAACAAGTACTAAAATTTGTATTTTTTGTATTTCAATGAAATTCAAATTTAAGTTTTAAAGGACACCAAAACCAAATCTAACTAGCTTTTTCGTAACAAAAACTTACCAGCCCTATTTTCCTCGAAACATCTTTTGGTTTTCGTAATTTAAGATACATTAAGACAAATAAATGGACTTGACTTAAAAATGTTCTTATTTATTAAAGTTTAATACATTTATAGACATAATGTATACTGCATTAAAAAATGCATATATACAGACATTAAATTAAGTTTTTAAATATGAATGAAACTTTAAATTATTTTTAAGATGAATAATGAGGTATTAGTTCCAGGGACTCTTCTCATGTAATATATATAGGTGTGTTTTTATATAGAATGACAATAGATATTTAATACAATATACCTAATGATATTTGATATATAAATCAAGCCCATCAGGCTTGGAATCATGGGTATGGCAACCCTTCCCTCTCTCTCCTGATGTGGGGGTCCAGACTAGTTCATAAATTTGATGTCTGGTTGACAGATGGATTCACTATGTTTGTAAAAGGTATGAACAGACCCCCAATAGATCCTTTTTAGTTGAAGTAAGGGTTTTACCAGGCAGTAGTCTTTGTTAGGAGAGATAAACCTTTCCAATTCATCACTAAATACCTTCCATAATTGATTTCGGTACTATTTGAGTTTTAACCAACTTTGATGGGTGAGCCAAAATGTTATAATCATGCTATAAAAGTAATCCACAGAAAAACTTAGTACTGATGAGTTCACAGTATAATCTCTCTTTATTCAGATTATTTATGATATAAATTGAAATAGGGGACTTAATTACATCATTGCTTTGGACTTCTGCTAGCTGAAGAGAGAAAAGCAAACCTCAAACAGATCCTTTCCAGTTGTCTTATCAGACAGTTTATTCACTTCTATCTACTTTCTGACACACTTGGAATTCCATTTATAGTGTAATCATGAGATCTTGTGCCACCCATCAAATTGAAACAACACTTATAAAGTAGTACCTTTAAATCTGAGGAAGGTCGCCTACATATCTCGAGTATATTTACAATTATAGGTTCAGTGTGATCTTGAATCACCTGTTGAGTAGATGTGACACATAACTAGAACCATTGATTGCAGTGTTATACATTATTATTTTTATTTTAGCTCAACTTCCAAAAGCTTGGTTTCTCAACCAACAAACTCTTGATTTTCTATTTCCATCCATGTTTTCTGGTCTTACTGCCAACAAAGTTTTCCCACTCCTCAATATCTATGCGAAAATTCTCAATGCCTCCTAATGATCAATTCGACGTCATTATTTTCATTTTAAAAAAATCAATATTTTCATAAAATAGATAAGAAATATTAATTTGTAGACCATCATGTTCTGAATTTGTTATAACAAAAAAATTTAATATATATTTGAAGAGAAAGAACACTTATAAGCTTTAAAAAATAATTAAACAAGCTAAGTATTTGACTAATAGTGCTGGCAACTTTATCCATTATAACAGAATACCCTAAAATGGGAAAAGTTAAAAAAATAAGCTTTGTAAAGACATACTCCACTCATTATCCTTTCTTTTAACCATATAATGGTGTCCAATCTGAATACTATCTCTTTCTTCATCTGAATCATCCTCTGAGTACGTTTTACGTTTGACACAATTTACTTTATGTATCATTTTAACGAAAAATGTCAAAGCAATCTGGAATTGACAGGTACAGTATCCACAACACAACTTTTAAAAAAAAGTGGTATCAGGCAATAAACTTGACAAAGAGGTCGGAGTCATTCTGTTGTTTACTTCCGATAATTGAGAACGACGAAGAAGATATATGGGTTGGTATTTCTACATCTGTTCAGATTCGTTGGTATCTCTCATTAACAACTTCAGGATGTTCTCCTAATTCGATGTTACTATATCCATTGGAAAGCTGAATTATTTTTGTTGCTCTTCAAAGCCAAATGAATGAATTTTTGATTTAATGCCTAAATAAGGAATAAATTATCAAAAATTCCTTTTACGTTTTATTTTCAGTTTTTTTACGAAGGTCCTGTTGATGTAATTTTGTGTAGTTTATGTGGTCCCTGAATTTCTGCTAAATTTCTTGTAGATAACTAACGTCGTATTGAAGTTATACCATTTTTGTGATTTTCGAGAAAAAAAATCATGGAGACAACATTTACCACACGATAGCATTGCTGGATAGTGGAATGGGATCTGCGGAATCCAAATTGATGATCTGGGATAATGTGATTAGAATCTAGGATGGGGTACAGGCGTTTTAGGTTGAGCTTTTCCAGGATTTTGTCCAGGATGGGTAAAAGGGAGATAGGACGATAGAAGGATGGGTTTCTTCTATTCTATTCTGGAGGCTTTTTGGATTTATGTATCATTTTGATAATAGATAATTTCCAAGGGTCAGGAAAATTTGTGGATCGCAGTACAGCATTATATATATATATATATATATATATATATATATATATATATATATATATATATATATAAGTAAGGAATAGGATGTCATTTTGTGTAGTTTATGTGGTCCCTGAATTTCTGCTAAATTTCTTGTAGATAACTAACGTCGTATTGAAGTTATACCATTTTTGTGATTTTCGAGAAAAAAAATCATGGAGACAACATTTACCACACGATAGCATTGCTGGATAGTGGAATGGGATCTGCGGAATCCAAATTGATGATCTGGGAAAATGTGATTGGAATCTAGGATGGGGTACAGGCGTTTTAGGTTGAGCTTTTCCAGGATTTTGTCCAGGATGGGTAAAAGGGAGATAGGACGATAGAAGGATGGGTTTCTTCTATTCTATTCTGGAGGCTTTTTGGATTTATGTATCATTTTGATAATAGATAATTTCCAAGGGTCAGGAAAATTTGTGGATCGCAGTACAGCATTATATATATATATATATATATATATATATATATATATATATATATATATATATATATATATATATATATAAGTAAGGAATAGGATGGCTTTCCGAGTAGGCAGTTTTAGGATCTGGGATGTAATTAGGTCGTTTTCAGGAGCTTTTCGGAAAGGTAACCTTTGAATGATATTGGATATTTCTGAATGATGAAAGGCTTTAAGTGGAAGAGACATTTGGAGTGGGATATCCAGCTTTGCTTCAATACATTCAAGGTGATTTGGGTTAAGAATATCGTGAGGGATTAAATGTTTTAAAGAGGTGGTGAGCAAATATTTGGGATTTTTCTTCGTCGGATTTGGACCAGGTTTGAGCTTCAGTAAGAAGTAGATGATTACAGTCTTTAAATTTTAGGAGCCATTTAGTGTTCGTCCAAAGTGATTTGTCGGTAGGTGTAAGTTTTTCAGTAAAATTTAGTAAATTTTGAATTTTTTATTTTCTAATTTCTGATTTTAGTCTGTTAGTCAGTTGGGTGTAATGAGTTTTATCTGCTGGATATCTGGTTCTATGCCACTTCGATCTTGCTCTGCGTTTTTCCTTTAATAAGATACGAATATGCTGTGGCAAGTTGGTTAATCTTACTGATAAAGGTGTTATTATTTATACTGTCTGTTATTGATATTTTAAGTTTTTTAATGGCTCCATTAATGTCCTCTTTTGTCTTTAGCAGAATTTAGAAGTCTAGTTTGGTTTCCAAATCACCACTAAATTTGTCCCAGTTTACTCGTCCTGTAATCAATTTAGGAGGTGATGATTTGGGAGCATAGCTAGAATGTAGTGAAAGTAGAACTGGACTATGGTCTGATGAAAGATCATCAAGGGATTTGATTATGGTTTGTGAGGAGGAAATGATAAATATGGGATATCGGGACGTTTTTTGAGAGATGTTGGCCAATAAGTAGGATTCATGGGTGAAAGGATTGAATAATTGTTGGAAGATGAGACACGTGATAGGATGTTACCGCGAGAGTTGGATGTTTGACAACTCCATCGTCGGTGTTTTGCATTGTAGTCTCCTCCAGCAATACAGCGCGATCCGAAGTATTGGAATAAGGAATAAGGAGACTATAGGAAAGGGAATTTCCAGGAGGACAGTATACAGCTGAGAATGTGAGATGGAAAGAGTGAGTTGAAAGGACTACAGAAGTTGATTGAATGGCATCAGTTGGAGTGGAAGCAATAAGGGAATGGGATAAAGATTTATGTATAAGGATGAACTAACCGGCATGGTAGGTGTTGTCTGGGTGATCAGTTCTATAATTGAAGTAGTCACGTATTTAGAAATGTGTACGTTTGGTAAAGCGAGTTTCAGCCAGTAGAGTAATATCAATGTTATTATTATGAAGAAATAAGTCAAGTTCGTCACGGTGGTTATGCAGTCCGTTAGCATTCCATAAAAGGATAGCTAGCTTGTGCTCATCGCGGGAAGTTGAACGGAATTTCGGTCAGGATTCTGGTGAGGAGAGTGATAAGTGGTTTTATAGTGTTTTGGAGGTCCAATAGGAAGGATGATAGAATAGAAACGAATAAAAAAAAAAAAAAGATTAGGATGTACCTACCTATTAAATTGTTGAATTACAAACTGTATGAATAATTCATTGACCAAACTAGTGGGTGAATGTACTTGCTTCTGTTGTGCATACTGTACTACTGAAATTGGAACAAAAAACTGTCTGCTCGATATACTCGTCGATCGATAAAAAAAATATACTTGTTTAAAATTTTGAAATAATTTTATTTTTAATTGTAGAAATCAAGCTACCAGAACGAGAAGTCGTTACTAAGATATGCTCCAAAAATGATTCTCCTTGGACTGTGAAAGATGATTTATGGAACAAATTAAGATATACTGTTGAGAAGATATCTAAAATTTGGTTTGATAAAATAGTCGTTGCAGTTCTAGAGAAGTAAATTGCCAAAAGAAAAATACCCACAATTGGATGAATGAGATGATAATACTTTTGATAAAAGATAAAGAGTAAATTATATCCCCAATAGCTCTTTGACAGTGTTAGTAGAAAAATTAAACCTCTATAAAGATTATCTGCGAGATTCAAAAAAAAAAAAAAAAAAAAACTGGTGGGTGCAACACACAATTTTCACTTACTACTCAACTTTGAATAGAAATTATTTTTTGGCCATGTTGGGCTCTTATAAAATTTTTGAATTGCATTATTAACTGAGCTAAAGCTAAAATATTACAGCTAACGAATCATAAATACTATTACAATAACAAAAGACCTATTTATTATATCACCGGTTGATTATGGATTGTACGATTCGTTGATTATGGGTTGTGAGATCCATTGATTATGGATTGTACGACTATTAGTTATTAAACTGTTATTTTCCATTGCGAAGTTTACTAAAACCTAAAACCTTCCTACCCACCCATTCGGGTTTCGTTCGCAACATTCCACTGTCCAACAAGGCCTTCGAGTTGTTCACCGAGTCGAGCTCTAGATAGCAAGCAATATTGCTCGGGTGCACTTCTGGACATTGCGCAAGCATTTGATCGGGTATGGCACACCGAATTGTTCTTGAAGCTTAAAATCTATCTACCTCAGTCCTTATATCTAGTACTCCGATCTTATCTCTCTGACCGCTCCTTTCAAGTCCGCTGTGGAACTGAATTTTCCAACTGTTATTCCTTTAGGCGGGAGTTCCTCAAGGTAGTGTCTTGGGTCCTATCCCTTCCCTTCTCTTTACCGCTGATATTCCTACTCATCCCGAACCCTCCGGACAACATTCGCTGATGTCACAGCCATCCTGTCTTTCAATTCAGATTCCTAAAGTGCATCCTTTAACCTACAAAGTCACCTCTCTCTTATTGAACACGGGTGTAATAAGTGACGCATCCAAGTAAACGAATCCAAATCCAAACATACCATCTTCACACTTCGGCGCGAGTCCTGTCCACCAGTTTATTTCAACTCCATACCACTTCCCATCTCGGACACAGTTTGATATCTTGGCTTCCTTCTAGATAAAAGACTAACATGGAGCCGACATACCAGACTTGGCCAACTATATAGACTACTCAATAAAAAATCTCAACTTTCAGTTGAGAACAAACTATTAATCTACAAGACAATCCTGAAACCTATCTGGACATATGAACTCGAACTGTGGGGGAAAGCAAAACTTTCTAACATCAAATGCATTCAATCCTTTCAGTCTAAAGTTCTCCTAGCAATAATCGATCCCCTTTTTGTAACCAATAAAACCCTACACTATACACTATACTTAATATCCCATTTGTACTTCACCTAATCCCAGACAAATTTTCCAAATTTCACCAGAATATCACTCATCATCCTAATCCTGCAGCACAGTCACTATCTAGCTCCAATCATCCCTACAATCCTCCTCGGAGGTTAAAACGCCAGCGGCCCCGCGACTTTTTGTATATATGTATATATTGGAGTACTGGCACTGGCCTGATTCTTCACTCAAATCCTGAGCGTCTGTTGCTCTAGTGCCCTCCATCAGTCTCCAGTGGCTTACAATACCAGTGACGCGGCTGGGAGAAAAGCACTGGGACCTCCTGGAGTCCTGCTTTGGCTTCCACATTTGGGAGACAAAGCTTGATTCAGAGTCCCCTGGGTCAATTTAAATATTGTACATAGGTGTGAATGTGTTTTATTATCATTCGGCTTTAATCTGTTATTTTACTTATCTTGTATATTACTTTATGGCTGACAGAGTGTTTCCATAAGAGAGGAAAGTGAGTAGTTCGTAGGATTGACCTGTCTATGACAGACAATGCAAATCTCTTAATTCCGTTTTAGTAAACTTCGCAATGGAAAAT